GTCTGCTCACGCTGAGCCTGGATCTGCAGGAGGTTTATTCTTGTTAAAAGCCCTTTTTTCTCTCAACTGTCACAGCATGCATGCATGCATGTGTTGCTCAGGAGCAGCAGCTCTCAAATTTGCTCCGTAAGTAACCTGTTTTATTGTTTTTTTTAACAGTCAGTGCCTCTTTTAGATGTTTTAACACACCTGATTCAAATGTTGCCATATGGTCATCCAGGAGGAGCAAAGTTAATGACTGGATTAAATTAGCTGGGTTTCCTTGGTAAGACCTATTTTAACCAACCTGACTGTATGATCTGGTTAAATTGTGTCTGTAAGATTTAATGAGATGACATTTGCTATGAATTGGTGCTATATGAAAAAAAATGAATTTAATTGAATTTGTTTTCCATTGCAATGATAAGTACACATGAAAAGTACTTCTGTATTTACCCATGTTTCTTTCCTAGTTGGAGTACTAACTGAGCAGTGCAGTCATTGACTGATAGAGTTGTTGTATCCATTAACTTTAGGTAGTCTCTTTGTATTTTCCCATAGAACGTTTGCATGGCAAAGTAATTTTATGTTTTTTAAATATAATTTCTGCTTAATTTTGACTTTATTGCAGAAAATGGCTGCTCATTTTAAGCCTGTTCAGATGGATTTGTCTGTGCTAGGTTATTCCTATAAAAAAATGGGGTTCCTTTCCACTGTTGCTGCAATTGATTGAGCTTCCTTAGAAATATATTTTTTCTGATGTTAAACATTTGAAATTGTGTATATTGTGTTATAATCTGCATTGTTTCAGACTGAACCAGATTGGAGTTTTATGTATTTAGTCTGTTTTTAAATCACTTTGACTAAATTAAAATGGACCTAAAACGATTTTGGGTTAGCTTTGGATATGCATAAGACTTTTCTTAAGCTGAAAGATACCTTAAGATTGTATCACTGTTTGTAGATTGGTGCTCTGTAAGTCGCTGTATCAATCAACAGTCAATGCAATCACAGGACAGCAGATTCAATAGAGAATATATGTGCAGCTATGCTGCAATAGAATTTAAGGGCTTTTATGATGATGGTTTTGAAAGCATTATGGTTTGCCACCAGAGTTTTATTTTGCTTTGTAGAGATTTCATCCTCATTTTAAACTATGAACCTCCAAACCAAGCTAATACAACCTGTATCAGTTGATGAAACTTATCTTCTCAGATTACAGGATTTTTTAAATGAAATGCAGCTGTTTTAGACTGAAGTTGTTTGGTTTTAATTGATCAATTTCTGCCTTGATTGTCACTCCTGAGTGGCCATATCTCAACCGTGTGAGAATCAGTAGAAAATCAGAATAATCCCAATTTGAAGCAGATGTAAGAAAAATGACAGTTTTCTTATGTAGTTTTATGCCAAGAAAATAAAGGTGGCTGCTATATTCTCATTCTGGCCACAACAGGTAAATATTTAATGTATGCTATGTTATCCATGAGGACATCTGTACTGCTAGAATCTCAAAGTGGATTGTAATGTGATACATTAAAAGTTTTTCAGATGTATAATGCTTCAGTTCAATGGAACAAGTTTGCTTGATATAAAAATACTCATAAAACTTTAATGAAATATTCAGTCTGTACGATGCTTCATGATGTCTATTGTTCAAATGCGTTGTTGGTTATGGGATTTCTAGTAATAATTTTATATGTTTATTCAAATAGATGGATGGGAAAGTTTGACTGAAATTCAATTCCTTTCAGTTTATTTTACTTTGCAGATTCAGAGCCAATGTTATCTCAAGGCACTTCACAAAGACTTTTTAATCAAACCATATAGACAGATTGGGTAAAAGTTTTCTATCCAAGGAAACCCAGCTGATCGTGTCAGACCATTGACTTTACAGATCAGCATGTGGAAAAAGTAGACATTCGCTTGCATAGTTTCGTTGACTCGACAGCAGCCCCTCACATCAAGCATGCATGTAGCAACAGAGGAGAGAAAAACTCCTTTTTAACAGGAGGATTCTAGGCTTGTGAAGAGAGGCAGATACACCAAAGGGACACAGAAGTGCTGATCTATTTATCATTTCTATGTTACAGTAAGTTACGGGAGACTAGATTTATAGATGGTGTCTAAAGTTGGTCTAAAGGTTGAAAAAGAGAACATACAGGTACCTGCATCATGAAGTATTTCAGAATATATAAAGGACTAGAATGAAAATCAAAGGCTCTTATGGTTGACTCATAGAACAAGGTAAGCTTTTCTTAAAGTTAATTCACATTTTCAAGAACTCTTTGGGCAAAACAAGTTGATTAGAGACTTAAACCCAAAGCACACCTGATCTTATATCTGTTCAAACAGAAAGCTATATTAGATCATAAATACAATTGATTTCTCCATGTTGGCAGTGCTGGTCAACATGTATACTTTAGCCTTCATATTTGATGGAGAACCAAGAAGACGAAAGTTTTTTAAACATGCCTTACTAAGTTCCAAAAAAGTTAAAAAACAATCCACTGGACTTTGTTTCCTAGTTTGAAGAAGTTTCGCTTCCCATCCAGAAAGCTTTTTCAGTTCAAAATGTCAGAAATAGTGTTGACTTTGAAGCTTTATAGAGTGGACCAAAAACAAAGCTTTGTTTGGCTTAGAAAACATGCAAAATGAACCGGACGAACAGATCCGCTACTTTGGAATGGGGGTCCTTTGGCTTCTTTGTTCGCCTGCAATACCAGATACCTGTCTACGCCTCTGAAAGGGGGTTCATTAAAGGGAATTGTTGGCCTGGCTGAAGAGGCGAGGTGGTCTGTTCCCCTCTATGGGGGTGAGGGTTGGGAAGATTGCAGGAAGGAATCAATTCTATCGCTGCATTGTAGGTTTTTAAAAGCTGAAATCTGAGCCCACCACCTTTGTTTAAGGTTAATTTTTCTTTCTTAACATAGATGGCTTTCTTCACGCCCCTCTCAAAAAACGTATCTTCTTTGTCTAAAATGTGAACATTCTGGTCCTCAAAAGAATGTCCATTGTCCATAAAGTGCAGATGTACCTAAGAGTGTTGTCCCAAGGAGGTTGCTCTTCTGTGTTGGGCCATGCATCTGTGGAGAGGTTTTTTGGTTTCTCCAATAGAAACATCAAAGCATTCCTCACTGCATTGACCTGCATACACCACTCTGCTCATATTTGGTCTGGGATTTTTGTCTTTAGGATACACTAGCCTCTGACTAAGGGTCTTGTTTGGTTTGAAATGTACTGGGATTTTGTGTTTGGAGAACATCCTCTTGAGTTTTTCAGAGACTCCAGCAACATATGGGATGGTGATGTTTTTGTGTTTAATCTTCTCACTGTTATGTTCTGCTGCGCGTCTCTTGGATTTCCTTGCTGATTTGACAAACGCCCAGTTTGGGTATACACAGGTTTGAAGAGCATCTTTGATGTGTTTCTGTTCTTTGTGCTTCCCTTCTGTTTTTGTAGGGACATGCTCGGCCCGGTGTTGTAAGGTTCCGATGACTGAAAGTAGGAAACAAAGTCCAGTTGATAGTTTTTTTTTTATTTATTTTGGAATTACTGTGACATGTATGACTGAGAATCTTCACCAGCATTTTTTACTAAGGTGCTGTGTGCTATTTTGCCTCACACACTGAGTACAAGAATAAAAGAGATGAAAATCTCTAGAGCTCACTGTTAGAAAACTGCATCAGAAAGTGGCTCCAAGAAGGGCAGAAAAAAGTCTCCATAAATATAATTATATATCTTAGCAAATCTTTCCAGAAGTATTAATTGCAAAGCTGCTTATTGAAACTTTATTTTCATAAAGTTTGAGTAATATTCCAGGGTTGAGACATTGAGAGTTATCTATGGACTCACCTGTTGAAGGCAGCAAGGCAGCATGTTTCAGTAAAATCCAATTCTGTAACAGAATACTGGATGTCAGCTTGAAGAGAAATGTGTTTGTGTTGGCCAGTCGTTTCTTTAGGTCCTCTTTAATTTAGATATTTTGACGTTAGACTTCAGCCAAAAACACTAGTTACTAAGCAACTGGCAGGCTGGCAGGACGGCGGAGAGCCGCTGGAAACAACTCGTCTCATTTCTGCAGTCAAACCGATTCAACACAGCCTTGTTCATTCTGTCCTCCAACTCTCCTGAGCCTCCTCTTGCACCTCCTCCGTATCCTCCTCCACATACACAGCTAAAAAAAAAAAACTACATCTTCGAGGTGAACTTCACATAAAGTTTGAAGTCTTAAAAGTCTCTAAATCATTAGAAAATATAGTTAAAAAAAATGAAAAAAGGAACACATTCTTGTCCCATGAGAGACAGCAACCCTAACATGTTACCCAGCAGGTGGTTGATGAAATCCTTGCTCACCTTTAATGCTCCAACATTACCTTGATGTTTTCACTGCATCACTGCTAACTCCTGCAGTGGTGCTGCTGTTGGAGATCTGCAGAGCTAAGGGATTTCAAGAACCTTCACCAGATCTGAACAGAAATCACCACTGCTGACTGGACAGCAAGAATTTTAACTAACACCCAGCAAGTCGCCCTATCGCAAGATTTGGTGGTTTTCCCAAACGTTTTGCAAATATGCCAAAGGAGCAATCTATTTAGAAATATGTAATTTGATCTTTGCCTATTTGAATAAGAAAGCTAATTACTTGAGTTTTGTTCAAATAAACTGACTTTATATCGGCTGCTGGTGTGTTTCTGCTCAGATGGATACCTGCCAGGCATGATGAGACAATGATCAGAGGTAAGACAACAAAAACATAAAATGCACCTTTCTGTTTGTTTAACAGCAGCTGGTTGCAGGATTTGGAGGTCCATCATTGATTTCAAGACTAATAAAGTATTTTTAGAAGTAGCTGAATTTGGTAGACAGCTGCACATTTCTATATTTCTATTTGTTTGAGTGATTTGTTTACCTTTTTTTTTCTTACCTAAAGAAGATTTAGTTATCCCCTATGTCTTTTCCTAATTGTATGTAAAATAATTACTTTAAAGCTAAAAGTTCAAACAAACTGCCTTCTTGTTTTGGTCATATTAAAAAAAATTTAATATAACTTGCCACTGGTTGAAAGAAAAGAAGCAACAGAAAATGTGCATTTAGGTAGTTGCTGTTCTCCTTCAGCATGATCATTGCCTCATTTTACATGTTTAGTTGTCAGGGTTGCTGCCTCTCAGGCTGCCTGTCAGGAAATCCGGTAATCAAATGTATCCTTCTCCATGTAGTCTGTCCAGGTGGAGGATGGCATGCTGCGGTAGGGGTCAAGTAGGATCCGGAAGCAGCGGACAATCAGTAGACCAAGAAAAATAAAGAGGATGAGGACAAAGACGAAAGCTGCCCTCTGTTCGAGCGTGAGGAAGGAGGTGGAGGATGAAGAGGAGGAGGGGAAGTCTGATTCAGAAGCTGAGAAAGTGCTGCTGTAGAGGTCGTCAGCCATGTTCCAATGAGGCCACTGATTAGTCAGTTCAGCATGCGATCATCCTTATCGATCCATTCAACAAATGCTTCACAGTAGACGAGTAAACTTGGCAAAAATCTGAAAAGAAAAACATTGTGTTTAGTATAAATTCCACTGGGCCTTAAAATACACATAATTTTCGATATTTTGAAGTTCTAAAAATAACAATTCAGCATTGTTCTAACCATCTTCGACACAAAAAGCCACACCTCTCTAAAATGAAATGTGCTTACTGTGTATAAGATTGTTAAAGCTATTACAGGTGTTTGTGGGCTTTAGGTTCATAGAACAAAGGGATTTTTTTACTGTTACAGTATTTAGACTTAGAGTTACCGTAGACTTGGACAACTTGTATTGTCATTTTGCATACAAAGAGTGTATACAAAATGAAATTCATTTAGTACAGCTTTCCAGACAGTAAATGAACATCTCCAGTCCATAATGTGCAGCAGTGGTCAAATGTAAACAGTGCAAGAGAGAGAGAAAAAAAAAAAAACATGTTTCCAAAAACGCATTGATATAGAAGTTCAAAACATTAATGGTGCAAATATGCAGTATTTTTGGTTTGGCGACAGACCAGGTTAGCTGCTCTGATAAACTGTATCCTAAAATCTTAAAAACTCAATTTGTATCAAAACTGAAGCAGAAAATCAAATTAAATTGAATGCCGCCACATTTTTGGGGTTTCCAAGAATACAATTTTTGCCACATGATCTCACAGTGATGGTTAAAATCAATGGTAAGCTCATCTAGTCTTTAAGCAACTGCCTATCAGGAAACATTTAATTATCAGCCTCATTAACAAAAGTTGGAGACTTTAACATGGTTATTTTGATAGGTCAGACTTTCTAAAGCTATTCTTAGCTAAGGTTTGGACTGCCATTTGTTACTAACTGGTGCCAGTAACTGATTTATTCTAAACGTTTATAATTATTAATGATAATTGTATGTTGCAATAAAGTATTTCTGATTCTGAATCATTTGCTTCATTTCTTTCATTAGTTTTCCTTTTTTAAACATATTTCTGACTTATAAAGGAATATATATGCAACCCATAAATTGAAAAAAAAACAACAACAGTAAGTTGTTAAAGTAATTAGATTAACTCATAAAGCATTTTTCCATAAAGAGTAAAAATCAATATAAAAAATTCCCTCAGACCCATGTATAAATGACATTTTAAAACATATATCTTGGCTCAGTTATAGGCTCTGCTTTCAATACAAAATGTGCATATTACTGCCACAGTAAGAGGCATACCTATTAACCCACATTATTCATTTAACAATATAACTCAACCATATCTAACTGACAATGATGGTGTTAAAAGGAAAGGCTGCCAAAATAACTTTAGCTGTATCCTATACAAATACAATAAAGCTTCTTCTACTTCTATTTTTGATTAATCGTGTTAGTGAAACACGTTTAATTTCACTTCTGATCTGTTTAACAACGTGTAAAGCTGCTATACATGTAACGGAACAATGACTTTGATACAGCAATGATAATGCAAATGTCTGTAATCACAATAACTGAAAATGTCTGAAAGGAACAAAGAAATTTGTTTTTTTCTACACACAGACAGAAATGATAAAAAGTGAGAAAGAAAAATCCTGCACATTTACATGTAAATTGATTTTTACTCTTGTTGCAGTGAGTAGTCAGCAGAGGAACTAAATGCAGGACTAAACAAGCAGGGGGTCAGCACAGAATACCAATGAACTTGATGTCACAAAAACAAAACCTGAGGCGCTGCCAAAGCTGCGAGTTTTAACTGAGAGCATGTAACACTGCAGGAAAACAGGGTGGTGCAGTTAGAGGACACAGAAAGGAATTTTGCAGGAAGTGTTGCAGGGAGAAGCTTGGGTTTACAGGTGTGATCACTGAAATGACTACAGGTGAGCTTAAAGCAGCAGGGGGTGACTGGATAATCTGAGATAGGATCAAGTAGGGAATATTCTTTAAGATGGAAGAAATTATAAAATGCAGATAAGGAAAATTACATCAGGAGGAACTGAACATAGCACAAATGAAAAAAATAAAACTCTTCTAGCAAAAATTGGTCGTTACCTCCTCCCAAATTGAGGTATTAACAACAAAAAATGGTTTATGGGGCTGCTTTTGGAATGAGGGCGCTGGTGCAAAGAAAGCACTGTATCTAACTCATTTTGTTCCACTATTATTACAAGCAAGGAAACATATTTTGTAAATTGAAATAAAAAAGAAAATAAAATAAAACTTTGGAAAACATTTTTTGATATTTTTTATTTTGATATATATATTTTTAAATTTGTTTTTCAATTCTTTTTTATTTCATTTTCTTTAAAATTAAATTTAGTTTTATAAATGTTATTCTTTTCGAGTTGCGTTTCACAGATCACACCAATACAAAAGCTCGGTTGACTCGTGCACATTGACCAATACACTGTTGTTGCTAATGTATACAGACCAATCAAAATGAGTCTTTTCTCCTCACTACAGAGGAGAAGCCGCCCAGTGAAGAGAATCTGCTCTGTACAACGCAAATTGAAAAGAATACAAGCGCAAAACCTCCCAATTTTTTTTTTTTTTTTAAGAAAGAATATAAGATATGATACATTTATATATAAAAAAGCAAAGTCTTTCTTTCATTAAAACATTTTCAGAAGACTCTTTTTGGATTGCATCCTTTTATTTTTTAATTAGAATTTTTTTTATCCATTTACAAAATATCTTCTTTGCTTGCAACAATAAGTGGACAAAATTCACCTCATAGTGTTGAGGCAACAAGGTGCCTGATTGATGGCTTTCCATTGCTCAGTCTCAGAAGGTTGTTTGAGCTTATTTTGAAATACATTCATTTGGTGCGCATTTGCTTACCTTCCACCCTTACCCACCAGCACCCAAAGTATATTCCTTAAGTTTTATAAAGCCAAATGTTGTCCTCTTTTGCTGACTTTGGGATAGCGTTGTTTTTTTTTTTTTGTTTTTTTGTTTTTTTTTTCAAAGAGGGTAGAGTTTTTAATATGGTTAGTGATCCGAGTAGTTTGCTGAAGTCCTTGTCTTTTAGACTTAATTTTTCCCCTCACACTGTTCCTCATCCCAGCAGTCTGTGGGTGGAACTGTGGGTGTTGTTAGTTTTAAACACATCATTATGGCAAGCTCTTTATTTTCTTCCCACATGGAGATTAGAGCCAGATTCAGTTGGCTTCAAATTTCATCATCTTTATTTTAGAGCTCCAAAACCTAAAGGTGAGAAATTTATTAAAATTAAGATGTTTACATGCAAATATAAAATGATTAAAAGGGATTGTTTTTCTCTTACTAAGTAAAAGCAGAGAAGAAGCAAAGTTGCCACTAAAGAAAAACAGATTATCTAAAAGTTTTGTTAATATTCAGTAATAAAAAAAAAGGTTGTCTGTTGTACCACTTGGATGCCATGTTGGTCAGACATCCAAGACATCTGAGCTCAAACATCTGGATATAACTCTGCAATAATGGAAGAAAATACCACATAGGCTATGGAGAACTATTTTGTATATAAAATGTCATAAAATATTATTTTACATGTAGCATGTAACTTACAGTTTGATTAGTTTGCACAAGACGGGCACAGAACATCTATGAGGGATTTGCTGAGTCTGTATATTCAAACCCCCTCCTGCTACCCTTGTTAATATTTCACTGCCGATCTTCCTCTCGTTCCTCATTTTTATTCCGTTCACCTTCAAGTTTCTGTACTTGTTCAAGAACAAAACAAAGGAGAGAACCCTAAAAGACAGCTTGAATGCATTAGTGTTCCAGGAGAGAAGTTAATCCCTTAAAAATGATGTTTATCACATCATGTAGTTATTTACACTCCGAGCTATTTAGTGCTGATTCATCATACCAGAGGTTAAACACATACACATATACATACTGCAGGGTGTTCTTCTTACTAATGCAGGATATAAAGTAGGAGAATCCCCCCAGGCTGCAGCTGCTGGTTCAGAAAATGCATGAAAGCTGAAAAAAGTAATTAGATTTGATGGAACAAATCATGCTGACCTCAGAAGTGTCACTCTAACCGTGAACGCTCATCTCAGCCAACTGAAGCACGAAGCCTTTGAAGAACCATCTGCTTAAAATCAAAGAAATGCTAAAAAGTTCTGAGAGATGTTTAGAACCTGTCTTAGTTCAGCGCTCCGATAGTCACGCAGCACAAATTTCTTCTTCAGTCTGACAAAGTAATGTGGAGGGCGTTCCTACAGTTATGCATCGACAGAACATGCCAGTTTTTCAAATGGTAATAAAAAGATCTAACTGCTGAGTATACAAGGTCAAGGTCAGTTTGTTTCTCGTGCCTGGTCTTAGTCAGCCTCTGGATACTGATGTTGATTTATTGATTTGTAACATCAAATGTTTCAAGGCTGCAATACTTACAACAAAACGTTTTTGCAACCAATTTACAATTTACCATGTGGTAAAATCAACTTAAAGAAGGTGATTCAAAGTCTTAGCTTTAATAGTGGTTTAACAACATTTTGTACATTTTAGATCTTTCAAAATGGAGTAGGCTTCCTCTAGGATTCATAACTTTTGGAACAGTTACTATCTTTCAAGATATATGGTAAATTTTAGGTGAACTTTTAAAATGCTGCAAAAAAAAAAAAAGAAGCAACTTGGCAATGTTCTGATCGACTAGTTTAAAATGAATTAACCAGGCAACGAAAAGCATAATTTCATCACAAGTTGATATTGTACATAGTTATAATAAACAGGACGTAATGTTTACTAATAGCATGGATGACATATCTAGGAAAATAGAGAGGTGTAAAGTCGTAGGAAAAGTCATGTTTAAATTTCAAATCATTCTGGTTAAAACATGCATATAAATGTATTCTGTATCAGATCATATTGTCCCAAAAGTTAGAAAATGTCTATAAAAAAAAAAAGCCTATCTTAAAATCTGTGTGTCTTTTCCCATTATTTTATGCAGGTCAGTTAGTTATCCGTCAGCTTGTACACCTAAATTCGCCCAATCATAGATCAAAGGTCATCTGTCATTCAAATTTTTTCAATCATAGCATTTTCATTCATATGTCGCACCTGATATATGCAAAGGTTGAAATAACAATTACTTACCATTGAGTTTACATCCCAGTGTTCACAGCGATTGACATCTGTGTCTTTGGCAGGCGTAGAGCTAACAGAACTGGCAGCGTTGCGAGGCAAGGGCTCAAACATATACGGCTGTAAGCCTTCTACACCAAATAAAGCTTCTGCCGCCATGGCGTCCTCTTCCAAAACAACTTCGTCTACGCTTTCCTCCTCTAAATAAAAATGTATGACGGAGGAGATTCATCCACGACCTCCAACATGCATGTTTCCACTGTCCATAGAGTTCCTTGACAGTGATATTGTTAAGTGCTACTTGGTCCCAATGTAATTTCCCATTGGGAACCTACTAGCACTAAGTTGCTAACTGGTTAGCAAGATGCTTTCGAGAAACCGGCCACAACCAAACTTGCTCGCAAACCTTCAGCCACAACAATACCGCTGCCTTGATAATCGACCAATCACATTCACTTTATTCACTCGTGTAAAGTCGGGCACCACTCAGGAGAATTTGGAACTGCAGCTTTTGGAACAGCCACTTCCTGACGACTTTAAGGAATGTGTAGCTATTGGAAAAGTTTTTTGTTCTGTCAACTAGTATTGGCAATTGTACATGCTGTCTAGAGAAGTAGAAAAAGAAGATCATTATGGAAATCTCTTGGAAAATAAGAACAGCGGAAACAGCAGATCAGTCTTGTGAGGTAAATAGTCTTTATGATAGATTTTATTCAGTAAATGTGTTTTCATCTGCTGCTTAGCAGATCACTTGTTCACTTCATTCACCTGCCTAACTCGCCCAGTTCCTAATGAGTGCTCATCTTATCCACCTGCATCTGTTGCTTTATATTGGGCTCAGCTATCGGGGCAGATTATTGTTTGTATGTTGGTTCTGTTAGTTTGAGTTATTTCCAAGGTTTGTGTCCACGTTCTTGGAGGCCAGGCTCTTTCCCGTTGAGCACTCTCTGTTCCTGTTTTGCCAAGAGCAGAGAGGTGGGGGGGAGCTAGTTTAAAGTCCATAGTCCTGGCTCCTAGGTGGAGATCAGTTTAAAGTTCTGCAGTTTCACTGGTACAATGTCTTGTCTCTGTCCCTCAACCATTGAGCCTGCCTGTCTGCATCGGTGCACATCTGTCTGCACTTGTTGCTGGACTCATTGAACTCTGAACCTGCCTTCATGCTTTGTGGATTCCTGGAACAATGGATCTGTCTGTTCCTGTGTGGACCGGAACCCCTGACTGGGCTGCAGACTCCTGGATTCCAAAACCATCCTGTCTATTGTGTTTTCCTTGACCTGGATCGGATTCCTGCCTGCTCACTGAGGTTGCATTATGGGGGACTCTCTGGGCGGCTCTCTGCCACAGCTCATTTGGCAGTCTATTGGCTGGATCCTGCCTTCTTAGGCAGGTAAGTGACTCACACAGATAATCATCTCCTGTCAGATGATCGTGGTGATTGTCAGATTATTGTGACCTGTGTATCTCCCTCCAGAGTGTCAGTGATTCGGTGCGGAAACATGGCCAATGAGACCAACACCTCCAATCACGTCAAATCACTAATAAATAAAACCAGTATTTATTTTAAAAAGGTATTGTTGGACCATAAACCGTATTAATCATCGACACCAATCTCTATGCTGATTCTAACTGTGATCAATGGTGTTGCAGGACGTGTTTTGCTTTGCTGATGGACTCTCCTCTCCAACTTCTTCAAATCTACCCTCTCAAAGACACTCCTACTGGGACATACGATCCTTCTCCCCATGCTACTTGGGGAACAGAGGAATAAACTTACAGCCGCTCTTTCTTACCCCCAGACCTAAGATAAGGGGAGTCATGTGTGCAGTTAAATGCAGTGAGGAATGCTATCCTCTTTATATTGGAGAAACCAATCAATCTCTTCACAGACGCACAGCTCAACACAAGGCGGGCTGCTTTCTCCAGGAAAGACTCGGCTGTTCATCTACATCTGATGGACAAAGGACATTCTTTTGAGGACCAGAATGTTCACATTTTGGACAAAGAAGACAGGTGGTTTGAAGGGTGTGTGAAGGAGGCCATCTATGTTAAGAGAGAAAAACCAACCTTAAACAGCCGGGGTG